AAGCAGAGAGTACCAGAAAGATGTTGACTTGTGTTTCAGGGCATGCACATAGGCGTTTGTATATATCACAGAAAACTACGGGGCAAAAATGAGCATTCCAGAACACTCCATTGTGCTCAGGGAGAATCTGTACCCAGGTCAAGAGGTAATTTCTCAAACAAGGGAACACTAGAGAGTACTCCACCTCCCCCCAGCCCCAAAAAACCCAGAATTTTTTTCAAAGCTTTGTATTAAAATTTTTTTTTTTTATGAAACAACCGTATCACCTTCAAAGTACTCTCCATGACACTTAATGCATTTGTCAAATCTGTGATTCCATTCTTGGAAACATTTTTCAAACTCATCTGTTTAGATGGCTGACAGCACCTCCCTTGTTTTTTTCCTCACCTCTCCTACATCATCAAATCGCTGTCCTTTCATGCTCCTCTTCATTTGTGGAAACAAAAAGAAGTCCCACAGTTTGAGGCCAGGTGAGTAAGGTGCATGGGGCAAGAGAGGCTTGCTGTTTTTGGCCTAAAACTGGCTCACCGAGATGGCTGTGTGAGCAGGTGCATTGTTGTGGTGGCAAAGCCTGTGCCTGTCTGCCACAAACCAGGCCTTTTTTGTCACACAATCTTATGCAATCTTTTCAGAACTTCTAAATCGAAAGTTTGATTAACGGTCTGACCTGGTGGAACAAACTCCAAATGCACTGCGAGTGGACATGTTTGTCTGTTCAGGAAGTTGACGTCCACAACGAGGTTTGTCATCAATCTACATTTCTCCTTTTTTGAAACAAGAAAACCACTCGTACACTTAAGTTTTTCTCACAGTGCTATCCTTGTAAACTGTTCAATATCACATCAGTTTCTGTGTCATTTTTCCTGAGCAGGAAACAAAATTTCACAGCTGCACACTGTTCTCTTAAATCAGCCATCACAAAAGACAAGTTTAAAGTGAAACTGCTTTTATGAAAAAAATTCACTGTGACTAGAGAGAACCTTCCCAGGTGATGCCACTGGGTGCACTAACTCAGACCAAGTTACTTGATGCTCACCTTGATGCGGGCAAAATGCATACTACTAAAAGCTCCGCTTTAACCAGCCCAATTCCGGGGTACTTTTGGGTATGTATTTTATGGTTTAAAATCAGGAAAAGTATGTGTCAGGTTTGTATCCTTTCTTCATAGTTATTCAATCTGTATGCTGAGCAAAGAATCCGAAAACTGGACTATGTAAAGAAGGCCATTGCATCAGGATTGGTAGAAGGCTTATTAGCAAGCTGCACTATGCAGATGGTGCACCCTTGCTTCCTGAAAGCAAGAAGGAGGTGAGGCACTTGCTGATGAAGATCAACAACTGCAGCCTTCAGTCTGGATTACAGCTCAATGTAAAGAAAACCAAAATCCTCACCACTGGACCAATTGGTAACATCATGATAAACCGAGAAAAGATTAAACTTGTTGGGGATTTCATTTCACTCGGAACTACAACGAATGTTCATGGAAACTGTAGTTAAAAAATCAAAGAACATATTGCACTGGACAAATCTGCTGAACGAGACCTCTTTAAAGTGTTAGAAAACAAAGCTATCACCTCGAGGACTAAGATATGCCTGGCCCACATCGTAATATTTCAAGAGCCTCATATGCATACGAGGGTTAGGCAATGATTAAGGAAGACCGGGGGTAATGGATGCATTTGAACGACGGTGTTGGTGAAGAATATTGAAAAATGCCATGAATTGCCAAAAGAACAAAAATAAAATAAAATAAAATTGTCTTGGGGGAAGTACAGCCAGAATCGACAGTTTTGAATTATGGTTTTGGCGAAGAATCTCGAAAGTGCTATGGACTGTCGGAAGAACAAACAAGTCTGTCTGGATGTGGCCGAGAGACGAGGATGGTACACTGTGCATATGTTATCACGCTCTTTGCGAACGTTTCAGGATCCACAGGTCACTGGAGAAGGGCATCCTCCGTGATGAAGAGTCAGCAAAAGAGAGGAAAATGCCCATTGAGGTGGATGGACACATGGCTGTAACAAGCTCAAGCTTAACGCCAGTGGTGAGGCTAGCAGGGGACCAGGCAGTGTTTGTGCTGTCACACGTGAGGTCACTACAAGTCAGAACCAACTCCTGGGCACCTCACAACTGCACAGCAGCAGTGACTAGTCTGAATTTTTGTTTATTATTCCTTTCTTTTATACATACACACCATGTGTACACATATGAATATGTGTACATAAGTGTACTTTGTCTATACACACCTGTCTTCATACGTGTATCATTTTGAAACTCTGTGTGAGTGTATTCTCACAGGGTTTGTTTATGTCAATGAACATTACATTACTAAGATTCACCCATGCATGTAGACATTGCTCATCTGTTTACATTGCACTGTAACATTCCATTGTGTGACCATACCACATTCCGTTGTCTCTGCTTACGTGCATTTACAGTGTTTGCCCCTTAGATACGTCACCTATAAAATAGGAGAAAATAAATATCTCATCACAGAATTGCTACGATTGATATGAAACACTGAGTCCAGAGATTGACACCAAGATTTCAAACCCTGACTCAAGATTCCAAACCTCTTCTTGAATCTGGAAGGAGACAGGAGAAGATCCCAATGAAACATATGTTCCAACACCAGTGTTCAGAATACAGTTTCTTTTTGATTTGCTCTCAACCAATGTCTAACCCAGTAGTTCTCAAACAGGAATGAGTTTTGCCCTGCAGAGAATACTTGGCAGTGCTTGAGTTTCCCAATTCAGGGAATACTCCAGACAGCTGATGGAGGCCCTGGATGCCGCTGAAGACACTGCAATGCACAAGACAGTCTCCCCACAGCAAAATATCAATAGTGTGAAGGTTGAGAAGCCCTACTGTACCATCGCGTGTTCTTGTGATACCCCAAACCACCCCTTAAGGATACAAAATGTCCCTCCATTCTGTGAATTAAAGGTAGGGGTGACTTCCTTGAAGATCTTCTGTCCTTGGGCACTGTAAGAGGATATGTGTAGATTTTATACATAATGTGTCTTATAGGAACTGCTACTGTTATTGTTGTTGTTTGTGGTTACCCCGCAATTCTGACTCACGGCAACCCCACATGGCAGAGGACAAGTGCTCCATAGGAGTTTCGATGCTGTCACCTCTCAGAAGCACCTTTTTGGAGGCCTGTCTTCCAAGACATCTCGAGATGTGTTCAAATCACCAATCCTTTGCCTAGGAGCTGAGCCCTTAGCCACTTGTACCATGCAGGGACTCCTTCTCTGGACTAGGTTCTGTTTTGTCAGGAGCCATTGAGTCGGTTCCAACCCAGCAACCCTGTGTACAACAGAAGGGAATGCTACCCAGTTCTGTGGCAGCCTCCCAATTGTTCTTAGGTTGGATCCCACCAAGGCAGGCGCTGTGTCGATCCACCTTGCTGAAGGCCTTCTCTTTTCCACTGCGCCACTACTGCACTAAGCCTGATGCCCTTCTCCTTGGAGTGGCCTCTCCTGATAACATATCTGTAATACATGAGACAAAGTCTCACCATCCTTTCCACTAAGGCCCATTCTGGCTATACTCGTCCCAAGACAGATTTGTTGCTATGGACTAAGAGAGCATAAGAAAAATGATTCCACAGGGAGCCCAGCTTACCTTCACCTACCTTATTGTTTAAATGGCCCCTAATTATTGTTTTCATCCCACCGTGAAGTCCTCACCAGTCACCCATCGCCGGTCGGTCTATATGACTTCAGTCAGTCATCCATAGCAAAGGGAGTTTCGCAATTCCAGTGCTATTCATGTCCGGCCTACACGCAGCCCTAGACCAAACCCAAGCATCTCTGTCTAGCACATAGCCCTCACGGTCAGCTGTGACAGTCTACACATCCAACTCATGGCATCCCAATACGCTCCAGACATCTGTGACCAAGTCTTACTACTGAGCCGTTTGCTCATAAGCCCCATTCATTCATACGCATTTCCTCCACCTAGGAAGCTCTTCCTCCCCTGTTTGTAACTAGTGAATCCGACTTGGTTTGAAGGGCGCAGGTCAAGCATTCCATTCCACAAGAGCTCACCCTTGGTTCTCGCAGGGTTTCACAGTGCATCTGCCCCAGTACTTCCAAACCCAAACCAAACGCACTGCTCTCAAGTCAATGCTGACTGAGAGCGACCTCCTGTGGGTTTCGGAGGCTGTAACTGTTTATGGGAGTAGAAAGCCCGTCTTTCTCCCACGGATCTGTTGGTGGTTTGGGATCGCACCCCAACATGTAGCCACCAAGGCTCCTTGCCCCTGTACTTACCACAGTGGAATCTTATCATTGTCTATTTTCCTATCGGTCTCCCCATCAGAGTAAACTCCTTAAGATCATAAAATGAGCCTTTTGTTTGTGTTCCTAAGGCCTAATATATTAGCTGGCATCTAATCGTTGTCTTAACAAGCCTGTTGGATGGATGGACAGATGGGTGGGTGGGTGGATGGATGGATGGATGGATGGATGGATGGATGGATGATGGAGGGGTGGATGATTGGATGGATGGATGGACAAATGGATAGATGGGTGGATGGATGCACTGACGGATGAGTGCACGGATGAACCTGCCCACAAAGACGAAGCAAGTCAGCTGATGAGACTGTGGGGAAAAAAAGAGGTCGATGAGAACAATCTGCCACTTAGCCATGTTTATTGGACAGCTATATCTTTGTCTCATTGAGAGATCACCAAGAAACATGAGCACCCAAAGCAAGGGAAGACAAAGCTACGGAAAGAAAAGCAGCTCTTCTCCGCTGGCTGGCAGCAGCGCACAGAAGCCCAGGGGCTCCCCTCTCTGTGCCTGGAGGCAGTCATCTGAACCTTTAGGATGTGGCACTTCTGCCGATCTCCTTGAGACGTAGTGGAAGACAAGTGATGGTGTGGAAAGAACGGGAGTCTAGCTAACTTGCCCTGAGCCGGTGGGGAGATGGTCATGTTTTCTCTTGAGCTGGTGACTTTCTTTGCAGGAATGGGTGGGCTGAGGCCACTTCAGGCATTGGCAGTTTTGCCCGCAGTGGGCTGGCTGCCTGCAGCCTCACAGGTGGTTGGGCTAGTGGGTTTGGCAGCATTGGCTGGGCAGGTACTTGCCTCTGAGACACTCTCCCTGCAGGGGGTTGAATCGGCACAATCGGGTTGGCTAGAAGTGGATTTCTTGGAATCCCATTTGCTGGCGTCAGCTTCACCACAGGGCAGGCGGGAGCAGACTGGGCGGTAAGAGACGGAAGTGAGGTAGGCCGGACGGCGCAGGACGGAGTAACAAGAGCGGTAGCAGGTAGGACGATAGGAGATGGATGTCACGTATGGTTGCCTGTAGGCGATGGAGCCAGAGCAGATTGGGCGGCAGGTTGAACGGTAGGAAACCGGGTAACTACAAGTCTGTTTGCTGGAACTGGGTATGTAGAAAGTGGGCCGAGAGCAAGCTGGTTGGCAGATGGCAGATGCAGAAGACCCAGGGTGGCTGCAAAGAGGTTGGCAGGGTGCTGACGTGCAGGATACTGGTTCACAGAGGGACCGACAGCGCTTGACTAGGTAGCAGGTAGATTGGCACGGGCTGGGCACACAGACACCTTGTGAGCAGGGACTGGCCTCAGAACAGATGGGTTGGCAGATACTGGAGACGCAACAAGAGGGTTCTTGGCAGGAGCTGGACGCACACGGTGGCTCACAAGGGCTTGAGACACAGCAGACAGTGCGGAGGCAAATGGGCTCACAGACCAGAGCCACACAGGCAGCTGGCTGGCAGATACTGGTCTCTGAGCAAGGTGGCTCACATGGACTGGAGTCACAGCAGATGGGTTGGTAGCTACTGGCCATGGAGCAGACAGACGGACAGTAGCTGGGCGCCGGGCACACTGGCTGACAGCAAGCAGGTTCGCAAACCAGGGGTGGGCAGGAACTTGGCACAGCGCACACAGCTGAGCAGCCGCTGGGCTCACAAATGACCGGCTGGCAGCAGCCAGGCTCACAAATGACCGGCTGGCAGCAGCCGGGCTCACAGAGGACTGGCTGGCAGGAAGTGGGCACACAGAGGACTGCTTGGCAGGAGGTGTCCTCACAGCCCACAGGTTGGCAGCAACTGCTTCCGGAGCTCGAAGGTTCACAAGGTGTGGATTCACAGCACACGGGCTGGGCACAGGTACTTACAGGACAGGAGGGCTGACAGCATTGGGGATCGCAGCCTGAGGACCCACAGCCATCTTGACAAGTTACCAGTTGCCAAGTCTGGCTCCTGCAGGAACTGGGCAAGCAGATGGGCCCCATGCAGCTCACCTCTCTGGAGCAGAGAGAGATGGCTGGCACGGAGGGGCATTTCCTGGAACAGCAGCTGCCGGACATGGTGGAGATATCTCTGCTTCCTAGAGAGTGAGAGCGAAGAGGGAGCTGCCCGATTGCGATTGCGATCGCTCTCCCGGGCCCTCGCCTTTATACTACCTCACCGGTGTGTGTGTGTTTGGGACACCTGCATCTTTCCCGCGTTGCTGTTTGGACCAGTGTGCAAAGGAACATCTTATTATGCCAAGGTTTGTTTATCGGGAAGTTGTTTGTCTCCCCATAAAGACGCTGTTTATTTATTGACTTGCTAAATCGGGAATCCCAGAACGACAGGTTGTCTCGGAATGAGCATCATTGCCTCCGAACTGTGTGCTCTGGGTTCCTGAGCATCACCAGTGGAGGAAGAAGAAAGGAACTCCTCCATTATCCAGCATCTGGTCCTCTGTGTCAAACCCTGGCCTGGGCCCCGAGGATGCCCAGTGAATAAGAGCTGGAGACCCAGTCTGATGGCTCTTACCATCTAGTAGACAACCATGCAGTGAAATGCATGTCGCTCCAATGATACGCTCCGTAATAGGGGTCAGGAGATGTGGTGAGGAGCTCGATCGCGAGGTGACATGGATTGTGGAATGACTGTGGTTTGCACCAATAATCGTATTTAAAACCCAGAGAAATCAATCAAGCAGAGTCTTCTCCCTCACACCAGGTGAAGAGGCAGGTAGAGAGTGAGGTGCGGGTCCGAGTGGTTAAGCCATTGGCTGAATGTCACTCCCAGCCTGCCCCTCCCCTAGGGCTGCTTGCTCTCCTCTTCTTCACCCACATGTCTGAGCCTAACCCCTCTCACGAGCCTTGGTCAAAGCCATATGTCACGGCCGCAGCCTACTCTGTTGTCCTCCACTCCATTCTGTAAGCAGCCCCACCAGAGAACATTGCCTCTACCTGTCTTGGTCTCCCTATTTCTCTTCCTTCTTTCCCCCCCCCCACCCCCCCCCCATCCGGCCCCAGGCTTTCAGCAACCTTTCTAGGGCCTTTCTTGCCTTTAGGATTTTAACAGTTTCTAAAAGGAAAATGTCACCAAGACCCGAAGGGTGAAGATGAAAGAGGAGAGGTAACAGGGTGGCTTCTCAAGTTTATCTGTTAAGGATTTTGAATGAGAGATACTTCTTTGTTGTTGCTTAGAGCAGAGGTGAGATGGGAAATGAGCCCTAGGCTTCTAGGCTTTGCTTTCTAAAACCCCAAAGCCAGGCATCCTTGCTCAGGGAAGGATCTACCTTGCCTCCTCCCTGGGCATTCAGCATCAATGCAAAAGTCAGACTCTCCCTGGGAAAAAGTGAGCTGTGGTACTACCGATGCTGCTGCATTTATTCATTCATGAGACATTCATTCAGTTAGGAGCCCTGGTGGTGCTGTAAGTGTTGGGTTGCAAACCATAATTTGGTGGTTCAAACCCACCAGTCGCTCCTTGGGAGAAAGATGAAATGATCCACTTCCGTGAAGATTTACAGCCTCAGAAACCGTAGATTGCCATGGGTGAGATTCACTCAACTAATTTCTCTTTTATTCATCTAGTCAACTACCCAACCCTGGGCTAAGTGGAGAGCTTATAAAAAGAATGAGCTGCAGTCCCTGCCACAAAGATCCCACAATTCAGAAGACAGACAGACACATCCACAGCAATCACATTAGAACATGATAAGGCTGAGGAACACCCCGGAGAAGTACTGGAATGAGAAGTCAGGTTGGATTTTCAAGGAAGCGCGATACAGGGGGGTGATAAGAAAGAATGGGATCACTGTAGAAGCCAAAAGCTTGAGAGTGTGATATAGTCCAGAAGCAGCAAAGGGCTCACTATGGTCAGGATGCAGTTCAGAGACGAGAGTGATGGAATCACAGGGGTTACTGAGCACCCAGTCATGAAAGGACTCATGAACCATAACGGGAAGTTGGATCTTCTATTTAGAACTGTGTGTTTTATGCGAGAACGCAGCTTAACCAGCTTCGACCTTTGCAAACTTCTCACCGTTCATCCTGTAAGAAAGGAATTGGCGGAGGAGGACAAAGCTGGGGCTCGGTGGGGGTGTGAGGAGGTGGAGGTGTGTGCATAGAGATGACGTGGGACAGTGACCCAAAAGTTCCGTTGTGACAACTAGAACTGGGCGGTGCTTTGAGGTGGACGTGATCTGAAGGCGTCTTAGTGAGACGGAATCTGCAGGACTGCGTGGTTAAACAGAGAAGATTGGGAACAGGCAGGGTCCTCCTTTGAGAGGTCGGGGCAGGTTGTGGAAAAAGAGGTAGTGTGGACAGCGCTCATATGGGTAAGGCCGAGACGGCACCTCCAAAGGAGTCTAAGGCTGAGGCACGACTAACACTGATGGTCTCAAAAAACTAAACAGAAAAAGAAAAATATGAGTAGCTGTCAGGGTGGTTAAAAAAAGACTATCAAGTGTTAGCAAGGACCTGGGGCAACTGGAAGTCTCAGACATAGCAGGTGGAAATCCAAAATGGTACAAGTGCTTTGCAAAACAGTCAGTGTGTTCAGCTGGACTGACTAGAAAAACAAATCCAGAGACACTCATAGGTATAAGAGAGAACTTTATACCAAGAAGTAAATTATGCATAAAGAAAACATCACAGCCCAATCCAGATCAAGTTCATAAGTTTGATATTTGTCCATATGTCTGATACTAGCCCATGAATTCCTCTTCAGACTCATGCAGCACATGAAATGATGCCGAATGCAGGACGATCACAGGCCAGTGAGTGGAAAGTCCCATGGATCCAATGGCAGTGGAAGCATCTCCATGGCTCTGTGTGGCTTGTCAACAGGAAGGTGTAGCAAAGACAGAGTTCCCAGAATCCTCATGAGAAGGCCACGCCCACAAGGAGGGATCAATCAGGCTGTGACCTGATTGGTAGACTAGACCCCGCCCCTTTCATCTTTTATCAAGGTGGCATGAAATTGTGGAACTACCGCAGTCGGGAAGTGTGTTATAAAGTTAAATGGACATAGTGAAACATCCATTTGTCATTTACTCTTATGTCCACACATAGATTTGTACATGAATTTTCTAGCAGCTTCATTCATAACAGCCCAAACTGGGAGCAGCCCCAATGCCCATCAGTAGGCGAATGTACTTTTGATTCGTGCTCACAGTGAAGTGCTCTTCAACAAACTGCTGAGCCGTGCAACAGCATCGCTGAACTTAAAAACGCGATCCTAGGGGAAAGAGTTCACACTGCACAATTTTGTTTATTTGAAATATTAGAAAGGGCAAAATGGATAGTGAATTTTAGCAGATGGGTGATCGTAGGGATCAGCAGCAGAGCATATGACGCAAGGGGGGATATGAGGAATTCTGAGAGGATGGAAACCATCTATATCTTCATTGCCGTGGCGGTTATACAAATCCATAGAATCGTTAAGTCTTTATTAACTGTACTCTAAAATTGCTTGGTAAAGTGGAGGCAGACTGCCAAGGGGGGGTAGGGGGCGCTCAATGAGACGGATTGACACTGTGGCTGCAGCCATGCGTTCAAACCTAAAAACAATTGTGAGGTTGGTGTAGAACCGGACCATGTTTCCTCCTGTTGTACATAGATAAGGTCACGGTGAGTTGGAACTCGCTTGAGATCCCCTAACAACACCAAAAACTGGAAGCACTTTCTGATCTATCAATGTTCTCTTCATCACGTTGACTTAAAAATGAAACAGAAAGAAATACGTGGCAAAACCTAAAAGCAGCGTGAATTGAGTTGGATTGGTGAATCTGCTTAGAAAGGACTCTGGAGGACACACACCAGTCGCAATAGCTGAGTGGGGAGAGTTCAACAGGGGCTATGTTTTTATAGGTATTTTAGGAAACATCAAGATGAACAGAACCGCCCCCCTCCAAAAACAATGTTTTTGGGGGGTTGTTTGTTAAATAACGCATTGTTGGGAGAAAGAAAAGTTCTCCAAGGAATGAACGGAAGGAGTTTCCTTCCATACGGAGATCACGTTCTGCAGGATGGGGGAGCATCTTCACACAAGTTCTAACCCTCCAGCTGCGGCTTCAACGCCCACGGGAACACCCACTCCTCCCATCTCGGAGACTCCAGCGGAAGGAGCATAGCTGGTCCCAGGACCAAAATAAAACTGCGGCCAAAGGAAGACGCACCTGCCGGGAACATCTTCAGGACCTGCATGTGCCCAAAGCTTTGCCCCAGGAACCCTCCCTGCCAGTCAGAACGCAGCCGCTTCTACCACAGCCTCCAGTCCTGACCTTGCCTGGGGGCTCTGACCAAGCCTGAAAGCCTCCTGCAGAACCACCCCAGAGGGACAATATGCACGTGGAAGAAGCCATGCCCCGCCCTTAAGATTAAACCTGGCCAGCATCAACCTTGACCCAGGAGTTTTTAAAACGCAGGCGCTAGGGTCCCACCTTAGAGCTACTAGATACACCCTCCGGTGGTGATGTCCAAGAATCTGTTATTTGTCAAAAGCTCCCCAGGGGAACCCCGTGCCCCTAAGGGTGCATTGGTCTACAGGTGTGGTCCTTCAACTTCAAGGCTTAAGGATGGCCTGGGGGTTCTTGTTAAAACACAGACCCTCAGGCTGCACCCCTGTCGATTCTGCTTCCCACCTGTCTCAGGCAGGGTCCCCAAATCTTGGGTTGTCATTGGTCCCCAGGTGATCCCGATGCGGGTGACCCACAAGTCACCTTTCAAAAACCCTCCTTTGGATGTTCAAGTTGTCCTGACCCAGCCCAAGGAGGGGCAGAAGAAGAGGCGGGAGGTCTAGTTAGGTGTTGCCAGCAGGCTCGGATTTATTCGGAAGTTAACGAGAGAGAACCGTGGTGTCTCGGAGGCAGCAGAAGGCTGGGGAGGGCAAGTCGGTCCCCAAAACACCTTGAATCAAAGGGTGCCTTTGCATTTCATGAACCGCAGCCGCAGGTGGGGGGTGGAGGGCAAGGGCGCCACCCTTTCAGTGGGGGAGGGGAGGGATCACCTGGGGCGGGACCCTGGTGTTCCGTCTCTCACCGGCACGGCTATTGTCCTGGGCGCCTGGGAACCCCTCCCGGGCC